ATGCACAGAGAGACCACTGGATGGACAAGGGGAAACAACTGGCCATATGACATTAGTTTCTACTTTAGAGTCCTCATTTTTTAAACTGGAGTCATTTAAACTCCATTTTTCAGAATGTGGCGCCCTTCAGATGAGCCCCTCCAAGGTCATCACCCACGGCCCTTGGCATCAGTGCCTGAAGAGTACATTATATTTCTTAAACGATGAGCTATGGGTCGTGCTACTCTCCTCCCCCTTCCTTCTCCTTAGCTCTGTGAAACCTGTCGTCATCCTGTGACAACAGGCGGACATATTGCCGTTCACACTTCCGGTGACATTGTGGGGCTGCTAAACATCACACAAGAGCAGGAGCAGAAATGGTGAAGTGGGGCTGCGTCCCGGCTGGGCCACAAATGAGCCAGGTGATTTGGAGGAAATCCCATCCCCTCCTCAACCCTGCTATCTTCCCCTCGAAGGGAGGGGCTGACAGCGCTTGCCAGCCTCCGCTTCTGCCAGTCTGCGTGCTCTAGCATGCTTTGACTCCAGCTCACCAAGGTTTATCGTAACCCACTGCCTCTCAGAGGTGTCACTGACACGTCAGGTTTACAAGTGGGTGAAAGCTTGGAAGCTGGAGGCTAGAACTGAGAACACTGCCTCATAACTCTCTGCCTCCACATCAAGTCACCCACCTGCTGAAGGAGTTTAACCAAAGAGGAACCTTCTGATTGCCAGTGTAGGGAGGGAATCTGAAAACACCATTTCCATCCTCTCTGCATTTCAGAGTGATCTAGAGCACCGGTAGGAAAGTCACTTAGGAGATCAACTCTGGGGAAAAAAATGGTTCATCTTATATATTGGGTGCACTGAGAGCAAACTTTGCTGTAATTTTGTAGCTAAAATGGCACTTTGGTGGCTGGGCCTTCGGTAGGAGAGCAACCAGGGCCCCCATCATAGGCCTACAGATGATCAGAAACGAGAAGCCAAATGATGCCAACAGAAAAGGCATCCAGTGACAAGACACAGGGTGTCGTGTGAAATCAGCTTCAATGTCTCCTGGAATCTGTAGGCCTCGGCAGTGGAGGTGAGGATCCTGAATCTCTAGGGGTGAAGATGGTGCTGGCGTTCAGGGAGGACCTCCTGCTCCGCACACCTCAGCCTGGCCAAGTTTTTGTCGACCAGCATGTCTGGAGGGTCCTGAAAAGAAAAGTCAGGAATTCTACGGCAGACCGAACAGCAGAAGGGAAACTTCCTCGGGGCCTGGGAATGTGCCAAAACTCAAGAGTTAAAGCAGCAGATTCACATGCAAGGCATGGCCTGACCTGCAGGGTGGGGGGGCGACGGGCATTAAGCCAGCAGCTGCTTGCCCCTCTGGAAGCAGAGTCTGGGCAGAGGTTGCTGGGAAGCACAGCCTGCCCATGGCAACATGAGAAATAGGAGGCAAGATGCTCGTGTGGCTAATTCGTGCGGCTCTTCCTTTGAAGCCTGGGGGGAAAACCTAGAGTGTGAGATGCCAGGTGGTGCAGCAAGGGAGAAAGATAGTGAAACACCATCACAGAGAAAATGAGAGGATGGCACAGACACTGGGCAGGGCAAGGGAAGGGGCCACGGCAGGGTGGGAAGCACGAGGCTCCGGCTGCAGGCAGAGACGGCAGCCAGGCCTCCTGGGGAAGCAGTCATGGGGTGGACTGGGAGGCACCCCCAGCGATCTGAGGGCCGCCATTCATCCTCAACACCTGGGAGGATGCCTCGAGGTACCAGCAACACGCGGGGTTCTGAAGTTCCATGGATGAGCAAAACTGACATGGTGCCTGCTCAGCTGGAGGTACAGCCTAGTGATGGTCAGTGGTGTCCCTCCCTAAACCAGGCAGCCTGGACCCTGGTGTCCTGCGCTGTGGAGGGTGGAGGGCAGGAAGAAGCATGACCCAGCTGCTTTCACGTTCTAAGAAGCGTCACCATCGTCAAGAAAGCAGGGATCTGAGAAGAAATTGAGGTGGGGACAGAAAAAGTGGGGGCTCAGAGAAGACGGTGCCTGGGCAGGAAGGTTTGCACAGAGGAGGAGGTGGCAGGATGAGGGCACCCATGGGGACCAGACAGCAAGAGCTCTTCCAAGCCTGATCCCAGCTCAGTCTTCCCTCCCCAGGAGAGGAAAAATGAAGGGAAGAAAGAGATCTCAGGACGGGAATGATGCAAATAAGAAGGGAAGCAGCCCATTGCTGTCTTTCCACACCTTTTGGAAAGTTCCTGAAGGAGGAACAGTTAGGAGTCGCTCTCCTAACCCCAGCCAGACGCTGCTGAATGAGAATCACCGCTGAGGCAGGATGGGCACTGCAAACAGGAGGGATGGGGCCCATGGCGTGCCCTGTGGCACTGTCAGGTTGGCAGTGAGCAAACTGTGCTAGGCTTAGTCACAGCTCCATGCTGCCACACGCTTAGTGGGATAAACCGGACGGTGTCATTTCTGGGAAGGCCTCTGGTCCAGAAGGATCCCCCACTCTCTGAAAAGCCGGCATCTGGAGATTTGCTCATCTGAGCAAGACAGTGTCCTTGAGGGGTTCGAGCCGCAGATGATCTGACAGCCCAACCTCCACGGAAATTCATTGTAGAGTCTCCCTTCCTCACCCTCTACCCCAGCTGCAGCAAGGAAGTGGGTGTTGTGAGCAGGGCACCTAGAGGGGAGACCAGTATTTACCTCTTACACTGTGGACACAGCAGGAAGGCCAGTGCAGAGAGCCCAAGAGCCGGGCTCTGGGTCGGCCAGGCCTGGACTCCGGGGGCCTGGGGAGGGAGGAGGGAGGGCAGGGAAGGCTCTAAGGAAAGGCTGGGATTTCTGAGAGGCTAACTGGGCTCTGTGAGCAGCTTGAGTGTCTTTGAAGGAATCATAGGAAATCCCAAGGCTCCCAGATCACTTTCTTGGACTCATATTCTTAACTCATATATTTTTTAATAGAAATTCTTCAAATAAGAGAAATGTGCTCCCTTCTCTCAATGATTATATAAAATAAAGACATCCTCAGTCAAGGTAGTTTTTGTTGTGCCCTGCTTATATGGCCTCATCAAGGCCAGGCCAAGGTGCACCTGTGCGAGGCAGGTTTCTATAGCCACGGCACTGTTGCTATTAGAAAGAAATATCAGACAATATACAGTCCTCATCATGTCAGATGGATTTTTCCTGGAACCGACCATATTCACACAAAACCACCAGCCATCCAGTCTTGTTGGCACTGGCCACTTTCTCCACCTCTCAGGTGAAGCCTGAAAAAGCATCTTTCCAATTTAGGTTCCCCCAGCGATGCACCTTGTCACTCCCCACACACCATCCTCCTTCCTTAGAGATGTATCATTCCAGTGTATGCTGAGATCCCATAAAAGAACATAGGCCCGAGAATGAGACTGCCCAATTTCACATTTCTACCAGTAACTATCTGCCTGAGTGACCTTAGCTGAGCTATTCAACCTCATTAAACCACAGTTTCTTTGTAAAATGGGGATATTATAATGAGTCATGTAACTCTTAATGTTACCGATGATAATTCGATTGTATGTAAATGGCTTAGCACAGAGCCTGGCTCAAACCAGGAGCCCAATATGAGTAAATTCTATTATAATTATAGGAAAACATTAAAACATTTGGAGCTAAAGAAAATACTTTCTCACTTGACCACCATCACATGTATGTGTGCGTGTGTACTTTAATTTCTTTGAGACACACTGAACTTCGTAGGGAAAGTACTTTAGAGATAGTCAATCATCCCATCAACCACCGTACCATTTTGTCTTCTTTGGTTCAGCAAAGTTTATTCTTTGTTTATATTTATGAGATCCTCTACTGAATTCCAGGGCATTGTTTGCTAGAGTGGATTTTAAGCGCACTCTTCAATCTGTCATGATTCTGACAGGTCTGGAAAGCAGAGAGAAAAAAGAAAGACATGCCATCCAGACTTAGGCTGAAGGAAAAGAAGACAATTGTGCCAAGACTAACTGGACTGGGAGCTCTCTCTGCCTTTTTCCATTGCTATGTTAGTACTCTAGCGACCAAATCTTTGACAACCTCTTTAGTCATCCTTTTTTTTTAATTTAGAAACTGAGTAATTAAATAAGATAACCTCCAGGATTGTTGCTGCCAAGAGCTATGAGATGGTTACTGTATAAAATGTGGAGAGGCCTGAGAGTTGACTCCTGCTATATAAATTAATGGATAAGAATTGAGTAAAGAGGACAGGAAAGAGCATTTTTGACATCAGGACCCAACCTGCAGGGACAAAAATAAAAAAAGAGCAATGATTTGGAGAAAAGTTTGTAGTAACTCTGGTTAAAGTATTAATGTTAGAAAGCTAGATTATGTAAAGTGGAAGACCCAGAACACCAAGCCATTGATGGGTATTTGACAAGCATGTGGCAGCCATTTGAGTACCCTGAGCAGGGGAGTGTAATGTCCCATCAAAGGCCTCACCAAAAATAACGGGCATAATTTCAGCATAATTGAAAACCACTGGCCAGAAGTTGGCAAAGCCAATATTTTGCAAATTTGGGGTTCTCATTAAAGTATAAAATCCCAATATTCAGGAGAGAAGAGATTCGTAATCAATTCAGGTGTGTCTATATAACGCCACAAGAGGACAAAGGGAACATTCAGGTGACCCCATTTTCATATGGATTATATGAATGGACTCCAACTTATTTTTAAATTCAGGCGAGACAATTTACATTTGTCAATTCAGCTTCAATTTCATGTTTTCATTATTGACAGCGTCACAGCGGACATCAAGTGATGTTTTATCCCTGAGAACGGTACAACCTTACCCACTGGGTTCATTCCTGCAGTTGATGTTGCACATGGGGACCAAGTGAGAATGGCCTTTGAGGCCCTTGCAGAGGGGTTACAGTCACAGGGTTAGTGGGTCAAATGTGAGAGAAACAAATGCATTGAGGATCACTGGAAACTTTTTAAAGATATGCAAGGACGTTTGTTGCTTTGATTGCTTTCCTAGCCAATCGGTTTGAATCTGTGTGTTTTCTTCCAGGGTCTTTCTTCCCTGACTTCAAGCCCTCAGAAACAGTTTTTAAAATAGCATTTTGGCTCGGATACCTGAACAGCTGCATCAACCCCATTATATACCCGTGCTCCAGTCAAGAGTTTAAAAAGGCCTTCCAGAATGTCCTGAGAATCCAGTGTCTGCGCAGAAAGCAGTCTTCCAAACATGCCCTGGGCTATACCCTGCACCCTCCCAGCCAGGCCCTGGAGGGGCAGCACAAGGACCTGGTGCGCATTCCAGTGCGATCGGGAGAGACCTTCTATAAGATCTCCAAGACGGAGGGGGTCTGTGAGTGGAAATTTCTCTCTTCCGTGCCCCGTGAATCTGCCAGAATCACAGTTGCCAAGGACCAGTCAGCCTGCACCACAGCCCGGGTGAGAAGTAAAAGCTTTCTGCAGGTCTGCTGCTGCATGGGGCCCTCGACCCCCAGCCATGGAGAGAACCATCAAGTTCCAACCATTAAGATCCACACCATCTCCCTCAGTGAGACTGGGGAGGAAGTCTAGAGGACAGGAAAGGTCAGAAGGAGGGGGGAATGACCTTAGGCACCACTCCCCTTCCCACTCGGAAGGCCAGGCCACTTTCCTGGATGACAAGACAGAACCACCAAAGGAGGCCCATCTGGGAATGGGGCGGGGGAGGGGACCCGACCCTGGCGGTGGGGAGGCTCGGGAAAGGAGGAAGATGTCACACAGCCATCCCGTTCATGGTGATGATAAACAGCATGTCCTTGAGGTTAACGCTCTCGTGGTCACCCTCAGAGCGTTCCACGTCTGGCCCTCGCAACGAAAACCACCATGGGAAACAGATTTTCATACACAATCCAGAAGACTATAAATATAGGATTATGATTTCATCATGAATATTTTGAGCACACGCTCTAAGTTTGGAGCTATTTCTTGATGGAGTGAGGGGATTTTATTTGCAGGCTGAGCTCACTGACAGCCACATTGGATATTTACGAGGAGAGGGCCTGGACAGGGAGGGCCTTAAGATGGTGGCCAGTATCCAGGCACGTTATTTTTAGAGCAAGTTTTAAACTCCGCCATTTCTGTGCGTCCGGTTTCTTAGTCGGGTGAAACTTGACAGAGAGATTTACCTTTTGCTGCAGTTTGACCAGGTACTGCTCCTGATTCGCTAAGGATGAGGGTGAGGGGCATTCGTTATATCGTGAACTCTCAGAGGCCCATCCTCTATGCACGTGTCTAGGGAACTTTGAAAAAAACTAGTCAGGCAGAGGATGCTTTTCTTAATGGCATACAGTACTGTCATTTCTTCAACTTAGCCACTAGGGACAAAATCCCATTTAGTGGTGTCAAGATCAGATGGAGGACGGCGTCTCGTGTGACATATTTAAGGATCAAGAGATTGAGGTGGGGTGGGTGCTAATTTCATGCTAATACAGAGGCTGCAAAATTACTCCACAGCCTTTTTGACGTGGCCTAGAAAGGCCTTTCTTGGCAAATCCACTTACCTTTTCCATACCTTTTTCCATTATGAAAATCTAGAGCTTGTAATATATTGAAAGGGACATCTTGAATTCCATCTTTTTCTTAGCTGCTTCACTATTGCCTAACAAATGAGGTTCAAGGTCTCAAATGCATGTGTAGCATGCTGGAATGAGCGTTATGATACAGACATATCCTTCCTGAACTCTGAAAGATCCACGTGCTTAGCTTGGGAGGATACTGACTGGTATCCACTAAAGCAGGAGTCTGCAACGGTTTTAGACAGAAGCCCTTTTATTCTGGTAAAAGATCCAGTAACCCATTCACTTTATTCCCACTTTCCACAGGAACTTCGGGAATGTGCAGCTTTTTGCTTCATGTATACCAAATTTTGGTAAACCTTAATAACTCTTTGATAACATCTTTAGTAATAACTTTAGTGTATTATTAAAGATGAAGATGGTAACTATATGTAAAAATGTAAATATTTTTCACATTGCACAGTAAGAATTTAGATTAAGATCTATGTTTCTGGAATATTTCTTGCCTAGAATTACTGGCCTAAAACTACTGACTATTTCTGTGATCTCTTCCCATGATTTGGGTAGTTTCCTTTAAAAACTTCAAAGCAGATTGTAGCTGTTATTTAACCTTCACAGCAAAGATAGCGGCCCCATTATCCTTCCCTCTTCCCTTGCAGAAAAGTAAGAATTTCCTCAAATCCCTCAAAAAGGCTAAAATACCTTTGCACACTGCCGTGATGAGTATGTTTGCATGTAGAATTGAGTTTGTTCATTTGTTGAGCCTGGACATAGAATATTAATGCTTTCTCAGCCCTTTCTGCAGAATGTATTCTTGTTGGCCAGATAGACACTCTGCCTGACATTCATAATATGGATTCTGGCATGAGATGTTGGCTGGATTTTTACACTCCACCGGTCTGTCTGTATGTTCCGTAACAGCTGTACCAGATGTGGGTATCCTATCATGGATGTAGGCATTGGGAAAGAACTTGAACATGCAAAGTTCGCTTCTCTTCTGTCCAGATAGTAAAGATAAGTTTCATTGTTGAGAAGAGCATCTTTCAAGATCTGAATTTTAAAAACCCCTATTTGCCAGACTCCCCTTACATGAAAAGCATCCCAGTGAAAAGAACGGTAGTAGTTTTCCTTCAGCAAAATCGGGCTCCATGTTTGAAATGATCTCTAAACACCTTTACAGGCAAGTTTAAATTTTAGATATTAGAAAGCTTAGGATCACCAGGGAGCTAGCAGGAATGCCACTTCTAATCAAAATAAACAACTAGAACATCTTTTGCTCATCAGATAAAAGCCATGACAATTGTATTCATGTGAAACTATCCATAAATAATTTTCTGCTACACTTTCCTCCAATCCCACCCCCACCAGAGAGGCAAACTTTAACATTTTCTTCCTTTCCCAAATAGGCTATTAAGTATAAACATGCCAATTTTACAAGAAATTGATAATGTCACCCAAGACTTAGGCAAAGTGGAATAAACAATATACAAGTTATTTTTCACTCATCCACAAAAATCTCTGTACCTTTGAGTGTGCCAAAAACTATCTAAAATTGTCACAGTTAAACAAATGATTGTCATGTTTATACTCACATGTTTACTGCTTCTATTTGGAGTTTGAAGAATTTACCCAGAGTAACAGTGGTCAAAATGTTTTCTCTAATGTGTTATAAAAAGCAGCTGCTTTGGGACTGTCTACACATCATGAAAAATCAACTTGACATGGGATAGGTGAAATTTGAGTTTCTTCTGCGAGCCAGATAAATTGCATTAACAGAGATCTCAAATATGTTTACTCAAAACTATCCCCAAACTATTACAAGGATTCCAGAAGAGAATTTTACTTGTCACCTTTCTTTCCTTTGCCTCTGTCGTGTCTTATCCAAGACCACCCTGCCTGTAATCAGTGTGTGCTGACACTCTCTCACTGTCAGCTTGGGTTGACCCATCCATGGTAGGCAATAATATTTGAGTACCTAAATATATTCTTAAGGCTTTTTTTGTTGGGTTCTACTGTGTACCAGGCATCAGCAGGGCATTTTACACCCATTGTCTCTAAACCTCATAGCAATTATACATTTTAAGGTAAAAATATGACAGGATTGAAGACTCACTCAAGGCCAAGGAGGAGCAATGATCCAGACGTGGGTGTCCCTGACGCTGAAGTCGGCAGCACCCCTGCGTCATAAATGGGAGAGTCCCCCAGTTAGGACTGGGTTTCCTGAAGACACTAAGCCATACCAGCCTGCCAAATCTCCCTCCTAAGCCAAGCCCAAGAGCAGGCCTCCAATTCTATCAGACCACACCACGGTTTCAGGGGATAATGGCCTAGAATGCCACTCAGGGCTTGCCAGAAGGATCAATTTTTTTAGATTGGGAGAAAATGGACATAAAAAGAGAATATAGAAGAAAGAGGCTGCTTTGACCTAGAACAGCGAGCAAGACACAGTTGTGGATATGAAACACATTGTGTAGTACGTTCAAGTTATTGACTACCACCCACAGTTAATCAGCACACTTCCAGGAAGCATATCCCTTTTCAAAATAATTAAAACCAGATACCACGTCACTCTCACCTTGTATTCCAACATGATTTTTTTTTTTAGTTGTACAAACAGAGAGAAGGAATGATAGGTGTTTCACGGGGAGTTACACAGAGCCCAGAGATGTGTGAAATGTGAATTTCATGTCTCAGCATGGGGAAACGGTTTGGAATGCTGAGCTCCAGGCAGCCAGAGACCTAGACCATCTGAAAAACGAAGAATCGGTTGGCAGCTGTGGCTTCTTATTAGAGGGCGTGCAAGTGCTCCTGGATTTCCTTTTGCAGTGGAAGCCTTATGTGCCAAGCATCTTGACTGCCCGCACCCCTAAAAGCAAACCAGCACGCAGACCTTCCAGCCAGGAGGCTTCATGGTGTGGCCTGGGGGTAAGAACATTTCCAGAACTGTTTGCGGGGGCAGGTGATTGCTCACTCTGTCATCACAGCGGCTTGATCACAGCTTGACAAACATTCCCACTTGCTTCTGGGGCTGGTTCCTCTCAGGTCCTCCTGCCTAAAGAGCTGCTGCCTCTGTCGTCTGATGATTTGTTGGCTTAATTAAGGGAAGAGCTCTGCTCATCCGCGAAGGGAAGAGGGAGCCCGAGCGCACGGAAGGTAAGCACTGCAAGCAAAACCAGGGTGACTAACACGAAGGCAGAGGCATCAGAGGTACGCTGAGTTGCTACTCTGATTCCTTTTCACACCACTAGGACTTTAAACCATGAAACCACCTGCATACAGCTCCATTCGAACCCAGCTGGAATGCTGATGGCACGTGCTCCTTGCCTTTGAACCGTGCCATGGAGCAGGGCTGAGCTCAGGCAGCTGTGAGGTCCACTGTGTTCCAGGAGCAATGGCAGCAGTGGCCTCCTGGCCCTCCCAAGTCCCTGCAAGATGCGTGAGTGGAGATGCCGGTGGGGCCAGCATGGCACAAGCAAGCTAGGATTTCAGCAGAGGACACCTGGGCCCTTGCCAGTGCTCTGATCAGCATTACTTCATCCGTGCCCCCCAGACCCACATGCCCAGGGGCTGAGGATGGACCTTATCTGCTCTGCGCAGGAAAATGGACTTTCTTCTTTGCTACTGCAGTGTGGATCACTGAGTCTCCCACCGGAAAGGAAGGTTCAGGCAGTGGGGACAACAGTGCTGAGGAGAAGGGGAAAGACTCACCACAGACATTGCTCAAAGCAGAATGGACGGGTTGGTAATATTTTGCTGCAACTGATAAGCAAGAAACTGCTCTAGAGCTGGTTGCTTATTCAATTCTGAAGACAAAATAATTATCATGCCTTTCTGTGTGTCTCAGGAGTTATTATATCATGTTCCATCCATATCACAGTCAACATAACCACAATATAAGCTGGAAATTATTATTCCTGAACTATGAGAAATACAGATGGAATCAGGTAAAGCAATCAAAGAGCAAATTTACACTGTATTTGGAGAAAAAAATAATTAAGGTGCTGACCTATTAAAAAGTCTGGGTGCCCTAGGGGCTTGAATAGAAAAGAAGCTGGGACAGCAAATCCCAACAGTGTTAGTATCTCCTTCCGCATGTGTAGGACTTGATACTTGTCAAACTGATTTTGCCTAATTCAAATCACTGCTGTGAGGTAGAAAGAGAGGAACAGATTATAATCTGTACTTAGGATTTCAAGAAATGATAAGGGATAGGGAGAGATTTAAGGATTCTTTGAATAACCCAAATCCAGCCTCTGATTCCTTTTTCCGTGACGCCTTCTGTAACCCCAAGGTCTGCCGTGTTGCTTGAGACCCCGACTTTCATATTTCACTCGTTCGTCTCTGGTCCATGTTCCCAGCTCTGTCTGCACCTCCTTTCCGGTCATATCTCTGCCGTTGGCTGGGCAGCACAAGTCTGTTCCAGGAACTGAGTGCATATCTGTCTATGCTTCTCTCCTTGGCTAAAAGGCAAGCAGATGTAATTCTGTTCTTTCTCCTTAGATAGGCAGCAGCAGAGCTAAGGAAATAAGCAGAGCAGAGGGCTTTTGGCTGTCTCAAAGGGGTGACTTGTAAGGCAAAGCCATCAGTGTTTGACACCTTAAGGACCCCAGGAAAGCGCACGTCCCATAGGGAGTTCCAGAGCGCCCCTTCCCGGCGGGCCTGAGCAGTGTTTGTCATCCTGATTGTCATGGTCAGCGAGCTGCTCACTTCTTGTCCGGCACCAGGCCTTGCATTTGGCATGAAAAATACAGAAGGGCACACACTGTCCCCAGCTTGCCAGCTGAGTGTGTTCCAAGCTCATCTGTGCGTTCCAGGTCAAGGATGCCAGTTTCCAAGGGGCATTGTTATAAATGGGGGAGGGGAAGATGTTCCCAGATGAACCAGAAAATAAAAATCTATTTAATGTACACCTGGGGTTGACAAAATTTTTCTATAAATGGCTATTTGCGGGCCATATGGTCTCTGTCATATACTCTTCTTTGCTTAACTTCTTTTTTTTTTTTTGGATAGCCCTCTAAAAATATAGAAACCATTCTTAGTTCACAGGCTGTAGAGAAAAAACAGGCCATGGGCCATACTTGCCATCCTTGTCCTATGCCATCACAAGCTTACAATGTCATGCAAATGACACTAAGCAGTGGATTTTGGTGTTTGACAAACAAGCACCTTTTTTTTTAATATGCCGTTGACACATCTCCACATGACTATATTAATGGTCCCAGCCTGTGTGTGTCATTAGGCAAGGTGCTGAGTTCATACTCGGGAGGGCGCTGCCCCATACAACCAGCCTTGCATTTATTATCATCGCGATTTTCTGCACAAGCTTCGGGACAGAGAAGCACTGACCATCCCTCCCTCGGTCGCGTTCTGTAGAGCAGGCAGGTCAGTGACAGCCCAGGGGAGTCCAGGGGCTCTCTCAGCCCTTCCCCTCCTTGGCACAATCCTCCAATACAACCTGGCTGACTCCGAGCATAGCAACAAGTGCCACTGGACCAAGGCTGCGGTCCCCGCCCCCCTGAAGCCCGCTGAAGTGGAGGTCCCCGAGGCTTTTGGGGCACACTGGCTCTTCGGGAAGGCCTCCTGACCACCGCGCTCAGTGCCAGGGCATTTGAGGGCATGCCCCAGAGCTCACCAAGGTGTGGGGTACAGAAAGAGCTGCTGGATGGGGAAGACATCTTCCAAAAGGCAAATGCGAGCTTCCTGCAGGATTTCTTCTGTCCCCCTCACTCCTCATCCTTGTCCTTCTTTCCCTATTTTTCCTTTTTGTCTCAGTCTGTGGGGACACATAGGTGGCCTCCCTGGAAGAAAGAACCATATCTCTCTGAGCTGTGCTTCCTTCCCACCCTCTCTCCAGGCCTGATGGGCAGTGCGGGTGAAGGAGGGATGCAGCCCCGGTTGGAAGAAAGGTGTACACGTCCTGTGGCCTAGGACAGGGTGTCCCCAGCGTTGGGAGATGAGACTGCACAGCAGGGCTCAGGGGAGGGGGGAGGCAGGCATGGAATGGTCATGGGTGCAGAGCTGATATGGAAAGACCTGGAAATATGAAGAGTGATCAATAACACCGCCACTGCCTGCACTGGGCACAGACAGCAAGACCTGTGCCCCGCCATGCAGTGCTTCGCTTCTCTTCTCCTGTCCTCTGTCTTGATCCATCCCTTTCTCCCTCCAGCCTCCATTCCTTATCCAGCCTCCCTCTCCATAATTCCACCCTCTACATCTTGCCAAATTTACAAGCACTAACGGCCCTGGGGTGGGTACCCTTGCCCCAGAAGGTGCAGCTCCTGTGAGGACGCAGTGCTCCGTGAATAGCCCTGGGTGTCAAGGTGAGGCTTCCCTCAGCAACTTGGTCTGCCCCAAACCAGGCCTGACCCAGGCAGGAGCCCCGGCAGGAGGTGGCCCCTGGGGACAGGGCACTCCCCAGGCTCCTCCCCAAGAACAGTTACCCTCACCCCTACTGCTGCCTTCCTGTCCCAACGCTATTGGTTCTGAATGCAGGGCACAGAGATCATGGGCAGACACATTTTTGAAAAAGGCTGTTCGTCGGGAGTGGTTTCTGCGTTATTTCTATCCTCACCTGCAGATTTACCAGCCGCCGCTGCCCACTCTGTGACATTTCAAGTCTTTCCAACCCCAGAGAGGTCACCTCCTCCCTCTCTCCTTCATCCTTTGTCTTTGCGTCTGTTGTCTTCCCCTTTCCTGTCCCTCTTACGCCCTGGAGCCTTCCAGGCCTTGAATAATCCCAAAGTAAACTGGGTTTCATGTTTGCACTGAGCAGTGGTGAATCCCTCAGAAGGGGTATCCTCAGCAAACTGGTGGGCGGAAGCGTGCTCCTCCCTTTTGGGTGCTCCCGCTCCCCGCCCCTACCCACCAGCCCACCTGCTCCTGGTCTTGTTCACTGACAGCTCCTTGCCTGCATGATGTCCTTGCACCAGGACCCTTTCTCCTCCCGGCAGAGGGTCCTCTCCCACCCAGTGTGCTTTTGCTGACATAGCTCCAGGCATTTGTAGCCCGCCTGTCTCAGTGCGCTGTGGCTGCCGTAACAAAGAACCACTGGCTGGTGGCTTCAACAACAGACGTTTATACTCACAGTCTGGAGGCTGGAGGTCTGAGATGCCAGCAGGGCTGGCTTCTCCCGAGGCCTCTCTCCATGGCTTGTGATGGCTGCCTTCTCCCTGTGCCCTCACATGGGCTTCGCTCAGCGTGTACCTGTGTCCTGATCGCCTCTTCTTATAAGAGTCCTATTGGATTATGGTGCATCTTAATGACCTCATTTCACCTTAATTACCTCTTTTAAGGCCCTATCTCCAAATACAGTTGCATTCTCAGGTCCTAGAAGCTAGGGCTTCAACACAGGAAATCTGGGAACACGTCAGCCCATAATTCTTCACTTCCCCTCTCTCCTTTCTACCCATAAAAATTTATCCACAATGCTTTCCCCAAATCAGAAGTTCAAATTCAGCCCTTTCTGATCACGCTGTCCAGTTCCTAGCAATTGTCTATAAACTGTACCTGCCACCTGATTGTGCACTTTCCTGTGCTCTTTCTGTTGCTTTTTAAAATCTCTATTTTTTCACTTTAAATTGTGCTTTACACGGTTCCTGTACACATTCCGTCTTCTCAACTAGTAGAACTCCTGGAGGGCAGGAGCTGTCGCATCACTTAGATGCTGTCCTCAGCCCCTGCGTGATCGTACCTGAGGGCCGAGACGCCCTGAGCAGGCCAGCAGAGGGGGGCCAAGGAGGAACCAGGGGCGAGATCCCTCCACTAGTCCAGGCAGGGGCTGGGGGACCAGGAGCACCGGGACTCGGAAAGACCAGAGGACCCGCCAGGAAGGCTGAGGGAGTGAGTCAACAGCACTGGGCTTCTGAAAAGTTACAGTGAGATTCTCATCACGGCTCAGAGCAGGGGTTCCCAGGTTAGCCGCTGTCTGGAGCCAGGCAAGCACAGGATCCCCCAGAAGCCCTCGGCACCCACAAGGCAGAATGCCATCAGTGAGTGGGACGGACCCTGGACCCTGACAGCCAGGTGAGGCAGAGCAAGGTGGGATCAGGAGCCAACGGCAGAACCCAGTCCCGGGAGGTGGGTCACCAAGGAGCACCTTGAGGCTGTGCTTGCTGAAGGGCCCCAATCCCAAAGAAGGGTGAGTTAACACTATTTCAGTGACATATGCCCTACATCAGGATTAGCTCGGAAAATGGGTGTCAACAAGTCTTCAGGGGGCTTTTCCTCTACTCAGTCCCAGAGCCTGTGAAAAAGTAGAGGAAAGGAAGCTACTCTGCCTTGTTGGGCATGAAGATGAGGCAGGCATTTTGATTCAGACTTTCTGAGGCACCCCCCCGTAGTCCTGCCTAAGCCCCCAGCGGCTATAATGGTACCCGTGTCACGGCTGCCTCCCGGGCCCCGCTGCCCGTCCTGCGCGGCCTTAGGGTGTCACAGCCTAGTCACCTTGCTTCTCTTAGAAATTCATCCCATTTCTGTGTCCTCAACCCACCTAGCCTTTTATTGTATACAAACTTCTTACCTGCACGGCGCCTCCCCGACAGCGTTAGAGTGATGTCTTCTCTTCTACCCGGTTCCTGCTGAGAAGCAAAGAGCATTTGGAAGACTCAGAACTGTCCTGCTTTCTGGGCGAGGAACAACGCCATCCCCACTGCCCCTCCCCAGGGACTCATACTGGAAGTGTTTCTGGTCCCACAGTAGCCATCACAGCGCAACAACCTTGTTTCTAGACTAATGTGGTTTGCCAGCTTCAGCCAATCTGGAAATGGCAGGAGGAAAAATCACATGAAAAGGCAGGTTCTCCAAAAGTATGAAATGTATATAAGTCAAAACCTTCCCAAAACAGGTCTGAATGAGTAGAACGATGGCTTATTAGATTCATCCACTAAGAAAAATGAAAACAGAAAACTCGTCTTCCTTCCCGCTCTGGCCCCCCTTTCTGTGGCTAAACTCAGCCCTACCTTCATAATGAATGAATTTCGGCTCTGCAGCTGGTTATTTGAAGTCTCAGGGTGAGAAGGCCATGGCTCATCGACCAAAAGCCAAGGGACAAGATATTGCTTTTCTCTCCACGGCGCTTCCCCCACCCAGCCCCATGTCGTAGCAGAGGTGACAGTTGTAAAGAGCAGGGGAAGAGGGAAGGTCAATGAATGTGCAGGCGCATGAGCAGGTTTGATCAAAAATAAGGATGCCCGAACTCAGTCTGACAAGGAGGCAGACTATTAAAAAGGAACAGACAATGTATCTTTAAGAGTGAAACAAGCAACTACTACAAATACTTATTGCTGATTTTTCTACATGCTTTCTTAAGGGAGTTAAACATGTATTAGGAAGTAATGGAATAAAAAAGTGGGGTCCTGTGCTTGCTTTTGTCTCCACTTCCAGCAGCTCACCTGACCCTCTGCCTTCCTATTCCAAATGTCACATGTGACCCTGATACTTAAACTTTGGCTCGTGAGAGCTGGCATTCTACAACAGATTCTGCTTCAGCTTTTAAATTCTGAACCAAACACATGCTTTCTTCATCAGACATGGAGGGAGGAAAATAGCTACTGTATCTCTGGGGTATAATAAGTCCCAAGCAGTCCACTTTGCAGTCTTACCACACCTACTTAACCCAAAATCCAGACAACGAAATGAGTTTGCTCCATGCAATGCACTGTGAGGAAGTAGGCAGAGCTGAAGTTTAAATAGTGAAAATCACATTTTAGGGCATCTCCCAGGTGCCAATCCCTTTGCACACTTTGATAAGGAAAAATACAAGTTTTATAGTCACATCTGCAAAAGAAATATTCTCACAGACAACCAGTACAGAGCTATGGGTGTGAGAATAAAAGTAGTGAAGTCAGTAGAGATTTAGGACAAAGAGAAAGACTGGAGAAAGCGGAGCCTTCTGAGTACCTGTTCCTGGGGTTCCCCCTGTGCAAGCCACTGGCTTGCTGAACCCTTGGTCTGACTTGACCAGCTCCACCCCAGAACCAATCATCAGAGGGGACTGGGGGTCCTTGTAAATGGTGGTCTGGGAAAGAGCCGTGGCCTTGGAGCTACAAGGTCTGGGCTTAATTTCAGGCCCCATCTCTATACCTAAGTGACCCTGGACAAGTCACGTGACCTCTCTTGGTCTCGTTTTCCTCACCTTAAAAATGGGGTCAGCAGATGAGATGGTGTCCATGAAAATGCCTCATGAGCTGATAAAACACAAAATCCTGGCAAGCTCCCAGTGAATGCTAGCAATCTTTCCTAGTATTCATTCCCCTCCCAAATGCTATCTAAATAAAGCATTATTACAAAGTAGATCACCTTTAAGGTATATTAAAGCACTGAAAACTCCACGTGCAGGAAAAGACGGAATAAACCTCTCCTTTGCTACTCATCCTAGTTCGGGTTGCCGTTTCCAGAGGCTGGTTGTCAATTCAGGATACTAACTACTCTTTCCTTGGATAGGAAGTTACAGAACAGGTGCTGCACCATTGCTTAGGTGTGCTCATTCTCAAAGTTCGAGTGCTAGGCACCAAAATCCAAGTTTCAGTCATTTCTCCCCACCGCCATCCCTATGCTCTTTTCTTGGGGTTGGGAACATCCCCACCAGAACAGTTTATTTTTTAACTTTTAAACATTAGACTACTTTGTACTACTTTGAAGCTTTTCACCAAGTTCTTAGATCATGGGAAGCTGGAACAAGCAGATCTAGGGCTGGTGTTTGTAATTTTTCTTCAATTAACTACTTACTTGGGAACAGGAAGCATTTTGTTGTTATAGTCATTCTGTGAAAGGCACTCTAAGAATGTAATCATTATGTAAATGAGGTGTGTATGTTTATATAATTTATATACATCAGGAGAAACAGGAGTAATTTTGACCCCTGGGGGACAATAGAACATTTGAAGCAAAGCTTGGGTTTGTGATCATCTGAGGAAACAGGGCTGAGAACCGCTTTGCAGCCGCGACCCACAGGCAGTTTGGATTCCAGGCAGAATTCAAAGCCACATTAAGAGAGCACCTGTTCATAGACTCAGCTCGAATTTCAAGTTCTGCCAGGGAGAGCTTCAGCTTGTCTGGGGACCCCTTTCAATGATCTCCAGAACCCTTCTGGGCAGGTGGCTGGACAGGAGAAACTGACATTGCTAGCTCCACTCACCGTGACTGCCTGGGGCTGCAGCCATACCCCAAGGCCGTGCTTAGCAAGGGCCTGCCGCCCTCTCCCTGCCAAACGGTCTCTCCGTGACTCAGAATCTCAAACTTGTCCGAGACAGAGGGGAAAGCACTTCCGTGGATGAGGTTCTTGGTCCAACTCCGCTTTGTATAAACATCATGTATGGCTATTTCAGTCTTCTGGGATTTAAGAAGCTGGGCTGTGGCAGCGGTGAACGGGTTGGTGTTAGCCCAAATTTAGAAGAAGAGTTTTCTGTTCTTTCCAAGCTGGGAGAAGGAAGTATGAGAGCATCACCTCAGAGGGAGCAGAAGTAACCGGGCTGGGCAACAGGGAAATAAGAGTGGGCCTCAGTGTACAAAGAACCCAAAGTCTCAACTTGTTAAAATGGATACATTGGGTTTGGGGTAAGAATTCCTAATACAGACAGATAAAATTTTGGTCACATGAATGCATATGCCTAGTATAGTAAAAGTAGTATCATAATTCATTAAAAGCCAGTTGCCTTGTCTTCTGAGGGGACATACACCCGTTGTATGAAACCAGCTTCATGTCTACCAGTGCTGTCCCCACCACCCAACACAGGGGACATCAGCCCAGCCCCCTTTCCTGCTACCCACTGTCTTTTGAATCCACCTCACGAGCTTGTACGTCTTTCTGCCACAGGGATTTGCCTCTGTATCAAGCACTCATCCGACTAAGACACAAATCTGACATATTATTGATGCTGCGGCAACAGTGATTTAAGGAGAGATTGTGAATATAAAGAGGAAGAGGAAAACAGGTTTGGGGAGCAAATAGCTCAATATTTTGAGAGTCAACTTAGTACAATTCTTAAAAATTAAACCCTGCAGTTTCCTGCTCCCTTCATGTCCCTTGGGTTTTATCACAGCCACAGAAGTAGAAGCCATAATGTGAAACAAAGTCACTTTCTCCCAAGGAAGAAGGTTGCCCACAGCAGCCCTTTCATTCGTTTATCTGATCAGTAAAATTCAGTGAGGGCTCCATGTACAGGTTCAGAGGTTGGAGAAGACAGTGGACACGTGGTCCCCGTCCTCACAGCCCCTACAGTTCATGGAGAGCACAAGAAAAGGGACAGTCGCTGTAGCGTGTGCAACACTGTGCTGTGCGTATTCATGCGGTAACGCGGCAGCTTGGTGAAGGGCACCCAACCCAGCTCTCAGAGTTAGGCTTCCCAAATGCAGTGGTCTTTAAATTGGACCCTGGAGGACAAAATGGGGTGGGGAACAGAGGGAATTGTTCCAAGCAAAAGGAATGAACCATTGCAAAGGCCCAGGGGCTGGTGAGCCTCCCGTATGTGCTGGGGTTGATGCCACCTCCCAGCTATCAAGGCTCATGGAAATCAGCCTTGCTTTTCATGGTGGCCACACGGCTTTGCAAACTTCATCTTTCACATTCCCTGCAAGAAAACCACGCCTTTCTTTTCACTCTTTTTGGAAGCCAGCGTGAACCAAGGAAGAGCCAGCAAGTGATGAATCCTCTCTCTTCGCGAGGCTTAGCACCGCCTTATAGTGGGATGGCCAAACAGGAAAAAAAAAAACCCTGTATTTTCTCATTGAGCAAATGAACATTTGTTGAACATGCAGCTGTTGATCCATAAGAATAATCAAGTGCTTTGGAAGGCTTAACAAGCCAATCTTACATGGTTTAAATCAGTATTTTCTAAAAATTGAGGAATTGTTTTTAGTACAAAAATCTTGTGCAGTGAGTTTTAAAAGAAAGAGTGTTTCCAACCAAAAGAAAAATGCAGAAAATAATTGGATCACTGCAGTCCCCCTGGGGGCCAGCTCTCCTGTCCTCTGTCATTGGGTTGATATCTTGCACTATATCAGGGTCCTGTTCTAGTCACACAGGCGGCCTGGTCGTTTATTCAAACAACATACAGCAGAGGGTGGGGGAAACAAACAAAAGGGGAGGCCTTGGAGCTGTACGTCTACAACAACTAGCAATTAGGAAGGACTTGACCTGCTGGAGCTAAGGAAAACACATTTGGAGATTCATTTTGTCTGTAAAATTAAAATTGTATTTTAGTAAATAAAGCTGACATCATTAAACATGAACCCCATGATATTTCCTGGCTTATTGAAGCTCTTCTGCTTGTCTCCTCATTAAATCTGTTCCGGACACAAACACGGCATTTCCACATTGCCAGAGAAGAAAATGTGGGCTGACTAGTTGATTTGAGTTGCTACGATTTTCCTATAACCTTTACAATGGTTGTGGCCAATGAAATCCCTATAAAGTACGATTTCCAATACGCAGTGTTTGTGAGCCATGCCCCCACCACCCCTTCAGGTTTTGATATTCGATTCAGGGAGTTGCTGTTACTGCCCTTTTCCGCCTCGTAACAAACAAAATTTCATCTGAATCGCGCTGAGAGTTTGGTCTGTACTTTATGCTGTAAGAGGG